TTTGGTAACGATGTGCTAAAATCTCTCCTGCAAACCGGTAAGTACATGCTTTCTGGATCCTTTTGTTTCCGGCTAGGGTCAAAGACATCCCCTCTTCCAAAAAGAAGGTAAAATAATCCTTTTTATTTTTTTCATTTTTTTTTATTACAGCCCTTGCAGAAGAGAAAGAACTTAAGTGGCTAATATTTTGCAAAGGAGACAGAGAGACTGATGCTGCAATATAGCTCTCATCTCTCTCCCTTCTTCCCAATTAGATCCTGATTTTAATTGCAGACGGTATTTCTCTTTTCATGCTTTTAACCATCTCCTCTTTTCCCACAGGGGAGGGTTTCATTTGCAAGTTGATGCTAAGGATTTCTTTCCCCTTCCCATTTCTCTCCCCTAAATGCATCTTTCTGCTTAAGTTTCTGGATGGGGGGCAAAATTTTCTAGTTCTTGCACGAGGAAGGCAAAAAGGTCCTTTTCTATGGCAAGATTCAGACTAAAAGCAGCGATCGCTCTGAATAATTTTAATGGGCATTTCAGTGATTCAAGGAAGGCTGCACCACCATCGTTATTATTACTATCCTTAGCATTTCTCTGTGCCTATACATTTAAAATATCTGGTGAAAGGAAGGGTGAAACCATATGTTGAAGGAGCTACATCTTATTAGTACAGTATTTTCATCTGATTGGAGAAGAATGGTGTCTTCACTCGGAAACGTATATAGTAGGATAGATAATTTATCAGCTGGTAAGTGTCAAGGTATTTTTCTTCCACTTTCAGCTTTTTAACCGGGTCTCCTGCTTGGTCTTGGGGGCGCAAAACACCATAATCCAAGCCAGGCTGAGCATTTCAACCCTGGGTGCCTCTTTAGCTGTCACTTCCCTTTAGATCTGCTGATCGCATGGGCATGTGCTTTAGAAAGATTAATCATCTCTAAATGCTTTAATCAGCTAAAATGACTAATATGTAGTATGTATTTATCTGACAATATACCAGTTGCATTAATTCATCACTGTATTTGAAAGGGGAAGGTTTTCTTTTAAATGAGGGCTGATAACCATTTGCTGTTTTAAAGATATTGTGGGTAATCGTAAGAGAAAACGTCTTGCCAGGGACATCAGCAACCTTGCACATTCCTTTGAGCTTACATGTGGATATATGGAGCTGGGAGGGAGAGAGATTCAGCGACTGAAATTCAATAACTTTGGGAGTTTGCATGTGTATGAAAGATGTAGTGCGACACTGGAGAAATCTATCCGCTGATATTTCCCCCTGTAGTCAATGCGGGTTATGATGTCTATAAAGCTAAAATTGCACACAAGTATGAAATATGTGCAGCTCTAAACACTGGTCATATGGTGAAAAACATGTAACGATGCAACACGTTTAGCCTGCGTGTTCACACTGTTGTATGATCTGCATGTGCTGCCTTCCTTAGAGATGGCATTCACCAAACGGGGGAGGGGGGAAGGGAGGCTGGTATGGCATGATTAAACCTTTTAACATGTCTGAAGTATAAATCAGGGCCAGGCTGGCACATCAGACACCCCTAGAGTTTGTTTTGAACGTCTACCCAACAACGGCTGAACTTTCCAGGAGCCTAACAAAAGTCGAGCAGGTAGAGGGTTATTAAAAAGAGTGGGACATGAGTGAAATACTGAAAATCTGCGTGTTTCTTCCCCCCTCCCCCTCCCCCCCCACTGTTGCAGTTTTCTAAACATCAACAAATGATGAAACCTTCCTCGGCAGAGACTCTTCACAGAGGAAGGATGTTGTGGATAATTCTTCTAAGCACAATTGCTCTAGCATGGACTACACCAATTCCCTTGATAGAGGACTCGGAGGAACTCGATGAGCCCTGCTTTGATCCATGTTACTGTGAAGTGAAGGAGAGCCTTTTCCATATACATTGCGACAACAAAGGATTTATAAATATTAGTCAGATAACAGAGTCATGGTCAAGACCTTTTAAACTTTATCTGCAGAGGAATTCCATGAGGAAATTGTACACCAACAGTTTTCTTCACTTGAACAACGCTGTGTCTATTAACCTTGGGAACAATGCACTGCAGGACATTCAGACCGGCGCTTTTAATGGGCTCCGAGCTCTGAAGAGGTTGTATTTGCACGAAAACAAATTGGACATTTTCAGAAACGACACTTTCCTGGGTTTGGAAAGTCTGGAATATCTGCAGGCAGATTACAATGTCATTAAACGGATTGAAAGTGGGGCATTTCGAAACCTAAGTAAATTGAGGGTCCTTATCCTAAATGACAATCTCATCCCCATGCTTCCCACCAACCTATTTAAATCTGTGTCCTTAACCCATTTGGACTTGCGCGGGAACAGGTTAAAAGTCCTTTCCTACCGCGGGATGTTGGACCATATTGGCCGGAGCCTGATGGAGATCCAGCTGGAGGAGAACCCGTGGAACTGTACCTGTGAGATCGTGCAGCTAAAGAGCTGGCTGGAGCGCATCCCCTACACCGCCCTGGTGGGGGACATCACCTGCGAGACCCCCTTCCACTTCCACGGCAAGGACCTGAGGGAGATCAAAAGAAGTAAGCTCTGCCCCATGCTGTCTGACTCCGAGGTAGAAGCCAGCCTGGGGATCCCTCAGCTGCCCTCTAGCAAGGAGAACGCGTGGCCCACGAAGCCTTCCTCCATGCTGTCCTCCTTCCATTTCACCGCCTCCTCTGTTGAGTACAAAACATCCAATAAGCAGCCCAAACCCACCAAGCAGCCCAGGGCGCCCAGACCTCCCCCGACATCCCGCGGCCTGTATCCCGGGCCGAACCAACCTCCCATCGCTGCCTACCAGACCAGGCCCCCAATCCCCATCATCTGCCCTACTGGGTGCTCTTGCAGTTTGCACATCAACGACCTGGGCCTGACGGTCAACTGCAAGGAGCGAGGGTTTCACAACATTTCTGAGCTCCTGCCCAGGCCCTTGAATGCCAAGAAGTTGTACCTGAGCGGGAATTTGATACAGAAAATCTACCGCTCAGATTTCTGGAATTTTTCCTCTTTGGATCTCTTACACCTGGGGAACAACCGCATCTCCTACGTGCAGGACGGGGCTTTTCTTAACCTGCCTAATCTCAAGAGCCTGTACCTGAACGGCAACGACATCGAGCGGCTCACCCCGGGCATGTTCCGGGGCTTGCAGAGTTTGCATTACCTGTACTTCGAGTACAACCTGATCAGGGAAATCCAGCCGGCGGCCTTCAGCCTCATGCCCAACCTGAAGCTGCTCTTCCTCAACGACAACCTGCTCCGCACCTTGCCCACCGACGCCTTCGCCGGCACCTCGCTGGCGCGGCTCAACCTACGCAACAACCACTTCCTGGCGCTGCCGGTGGCCGGGGTGCTGGAGCACCTGCACGCCATCGTGCAGATCGACCTGAAGCTCAACCCGTGGGACTGCACATGCGACCTGGTGCCGCTGAAGCAGTGGCTGGAGGCGCTGAGCTCGGTCAGCGTGGTGGGCGAGGTGCTGTGCGCCAGCCCCGAGCGCCTG